TAACGTATTTTAAAAACAAAACTTATTTAACTTATTTTACATAATTAAACAATTACAATAAATCAATTAATACTGAATTAATCCAATTAAAGAAAATACATATACAACTAAATACACAAGTCAAGTAAAGGAAACAAGAAATCAATTAATGAAATTTAAATTCATAATTAAACAATTAAATCAAATCAATACTGAAAACAATTAAACACTTAAACAAATAAGCAAATAGTCACACAAAAATACAATAAAACAATAACTAAAATGCCGAGACTATCCTTTTAAAATTAAGGGTATTACAGTCATTGTCTGCTTCATAGATCACCATGATATAGCAGTATTGCCACAAGTAAACACATACCCTATTTGGGATCGAGCTTGATGTGGGTTGGAAAGATATCCTGCATTTGCATATCCAATCAAGTAGGGCTTTGATATTTTTGAATAGAACAACCTCATATTAGTAGTTCCACAAAGATAACGCAGAATGTGCTTCACCCAGTCTAATGTCTCTGAGTTGGTGCAGAACTGTGCGGTGCTAGTAAGTTTACTAAAAATGCTATATTGGGCCGAGTGCAATTTAAAGATACATCAGAGCACCAATTGCACTAAGATATGGTACTTCAGGACCAATAAATTCTTATTCACCATCTTTAGGACAAAAATGATCTTTCTTAATACCAAGTGATCGAAAGATCATTGTGGAGCTCAATGGATGAGCCTTATCCATATAAAAGCGCTTCAGGACATTTTCTATATATGTTAACCGGTGGATAAGAACTTTATTTGGTAAATGCTCAATCTGCAGGCCGAGATATAATTTTGTTTTTTCAAGATCTTTTATTTCAAATAATTAGCAGTCATAGTAAGCTCTTCAGGAGTTCCCACAAGATTGAAATCGTCAACATATACTACTATAATAGCAAATCCAGATCTGGATTTCTTAATGAAGACGCATGGACAAACTGGATTAGTCAAATATCCTAATTAAAACACAATTAATTTCTAAGACAAGAAGAAAATTCCATTGAAATTGATTATAAACTTTAGAATCCAATTACATTAGTATAACTAATGTAATTCCCACAATTATGCAATCAATACACATGTGTATAAAAATCCCTAAAAATATAGACAATTAAACCATGTTACTTGGCTAGAGTTACATCAATTCCCTAGCTAATAGATGATTTAGGTGAAAGTAAAAATCTTCAATGGTGTGATGAACGCCATCTCCATGGACTGAAACTTTGACCAAAGTCACCTTCTTTAAGCTTCAACAATGGAAGATTGCTCCAAGCTGCCAATCCAATATCTTGTGTGTTCTCCCCCTTCAATAGTCATTCTTATGACCTCTGTCATAAAAAACGGGCCCTAAACTCGTGCTAGAGCTTTTTGAGAAAGTCCAGCCTATGTAGGATTTGAAAAGAGCAAAAATCAGCAATCCCGCTGATGTGTGTATTATCAATGATAAACCACTTGCAATAAAATAAATCCTTGTAGGATAAGGCTATGTTGAGGGTGTCGAACCTCAAGGACTATGGTGGATTGTTAAGTATAAAATTATTCCTAGCCAAACTCCCTTGCATCGATAAGCTCGTGGAATCAAGGAGCAAATAGGGATAGTTTAACTTAATTCAAGAGAAGATGATTTTGTTGTTTTTTACTTCTAAATTGCAATAAAATTGAAAATAAACTAAATTATCAAGGGATAAGATTAAAGTGAGAAGAACTTAAGGATTGACTTCATCTCTAGTCTCGTAATATGGTCGATTGCTTCAACTATGGGGAAATTCAAACTTATGTATATTCGGGAATCAAGTGGCTACAAGCATACTTTAATTCAAGTAAGAAGGCAAATATGAATAAATACTAAGCCATAACTCATCTTCGGTTGGCACGAATTGTCTACCTAACTACTCTAATCTAGGGTGCAGTACAACTCATTTTCCCTAGGCATGAATTATCAAAACATTCATTCATACATATTTAATTAAGGACCATTGCATAATCACTACTTAAACCATTAAGAGAAGCCCTTAGCCGCCAATCTCTCACAATAAAAATAGTTTGAGTTTGATTAAAGCAAAATTACTTCTATAACAAAAAAATTTAATAATAATTTGTTTATTTGAAAATTGCATGAATTTGTATGTTTATGTAGAATGGAAAAAAGGGTATATTTGTCTATATATGAAAATTTTAAAAGAGGTAAATTAGTCATTTCAATTGAGAAAGTAAAGTCATAGGTCTTTTCACCAAGTCAATGGGTAAAATGGACATTTTGCATAGATTCAAAGTACTTTTCTGACTGATAGAAGATGGTTGGGGGTTGAGTGTAATCAGAGGACAAATCACAAAAAGTATGAAGGTAGGTTTATCCAAATTATACATATGAGTAGATAGGGTGAACTTCAAATGGTGTGAGTGCAATTTACCTTTTATTTCAAGTTAAAGTTGAAACTTGTTGACGTATCATTTGTTAATGGAAGATAATATATCTTTCATTTCATAATTAAGTATATTTTCATAAAAAAAAAGTATAATATTAAACATTTTTAATAACATCGTCATACATATTGGTGCATTTTATGCTATGCGTGTGAAGTTGAAAAAAATTTACAAGTGCAATAACCCATTCTGTTTAGTTATGCTGATATGGCCTAATTTTGTTACATTGCATATGCGACTACAAAGAGGCACGGACCTAACATAGGACCAGTGGGGGCAGATGCCCCCACTGGATTTTTTATATTTTCATTTTATACCTCAATTTTTTTAGAATTTATGAAGATGGCCCCACTAAAATTATAATTCGCTCCCACTAATTTTATTTTATTTTATTTCCATTTTATACTTTAATTGTTTTAAAATTTATGAAGAAAACCCTATAAAAATTACTAAAATGGACCCACTATATAAGTTTGCTCCCCACAAATTAAAAGACCGCCCCCTTACAAAATTTTCTAGGTCACTATGTGTACAAACTATGTTGTGTACTTTCTTTCTCTAATGATCCCCTTTTTCTGTATAGATGTGTATACATATGCGTACAAACTTCTCATCTGTTGCATCTCTGAATATTTCTTGATTATGTAGGAAAGATGCAGGAGGAGATGAAGAGAGAAGTCCTTGTAAACAGATACAATTCAGTTTTTTCATTTACGAAAAATTATTTCCAAGACCATCTCTAACAGTATGTTAAAAGATCAATTTGTGTAAAATATACATAATGTGTAAAACTTTTTTTATTCCAGCAGTATGTTAAGATACATTATTTCCTCACAAATGTGTAAAATTGTTATGTATTTTGCACAACCCTTTTACACATTCACATCAGCATAATTTCTCTTTCCTCCCTCTTTCTCATTTCATTAACGAATCAACCCTGTGTTTTCATTAACGAATCAACCCTATGTTAAGTAGGTTTGTAAAAGTTATGTAGGATTTTGGGTATGAAACATGGTTGGTTGTTATTGGCATATATATATATATATATATATATATATATATATATATATTTCCACAAAATATAAAAAACAATGGTTGGAGCTAAAAATAATTAGTCAAATTTTTTTTTTGTGTAAATCTACTATCACACATCAAATTTACACAAAATACACATCAGATATATATATATAGTGTAATTCTGATGTGTCATAGTAGATTTATACAAAAATTTTGGGCCACTTATTTTTAGCTCCAGCCATTATTTTATATCTTTTGTGTTAAAATATATCTGCCAATAATAACCAACCACGTGTCTCTACATAACTTGTACAAACCTACTTAATATAGGATTGATTTGTTAATGAAATGAGAAAGAGGGGGGAGAAAAGAAATATGTTGATGTGGCTGTGTAAAATACACAATAATTTTACACATTTGTGTATCTTCTGGAGATAAAAAAAAAATTACACATTATACGTGCCAGTGTTTATTTTACATAAAGGATGTTTTAACATACTGCTGGAGATGCTCTAAGCGACAATCACCACATTATAACCACCTACTCATCCCTTTCCACATGAATAATCAATCATCATCTTCTTCATTTTTATCTAAATCCCATATGATCCTGGTCCGCAACATTAATTGTTTGTCTTAAATCTTTTTCTATTACATGCCATTTTGCTGACTATATTTAACTTTTGAATGTCATTTGTAATAACTTCATCTGAGGTTATGACAACCAGTATTTCTCGTTTTATTGGCATATTCATAGCCACAGGCATGTGTTCAATATTTCATTAACCATCTAAAGGTATTCGGTATATGTATTTTATCGAAATATTTAACCACTAAAGTTATACTATCTTTAATAGCTTAAACTTTTAGAATAAATGATTTAAAATAGTATCAGAGCAGATAAGATCCCGAGTTCAAACCATACCATCACCCTTATAATTAAAATCAAAACACACGTTGGACCAAAAGAAGGCCACACGTGAGGTGTGTGTTAAGGGACGAAGCCAGTAATTTAATTTAGAACGAGGCATAATGAGCATGATAAAAAAATAAAAAATAAAAATAAAAATAAGAAGAGAAAAAGAATAAAAGAAAGAAGAAAAGAAAAATGAAAGCTTTGACGAGGAAAATTAGAGTTTTATTGAAAATAGTGAATGCAAATTTTTTTTAAGGGATCAAAGAAACCTGAAAAAACAACAAATTAAAAGAAGGAAAGAAGAAAGAGTTAGAGAAATTTCTAGACAAAGAGAATTTTTATAGGGACATTTTATAAAAAATTTAAAAATTACATACACTAAATTAAATAAATTACAGACACGGAAGCTTTTACCAACTATTTTGGGTCTGGCAATCCTTAAGCTATCATATCATTCCTTACTCTACCCACGTAAGTACTTGTATTGTGATACAAGAAAATTGCATTTCTTTATCAAGAGTGCATTATTAGAATGCATTCCAACTTCCAAGTGCGTTTTGAAGTTTTTGTAAATTAAAAGCTGCAGCAAAACATTTCCGCTGATACTTACTTTCTCAAATTTAAGTACTTAATTGTGTTCGCAACTAATGCATCTATTAAAGGAAATGCTTCGCAACAGTAACTTACTGATTCAAATAATTATAAAGGACAAAGTCACCTCACAGTAGCCCCATTTGCCAGTCCAATATGCTCCGAGTCGAAGTGCCAGCATGCAGTTCAAAGTTCTTTTATAAAGACTTGTACCACACAAACTTTCTGAATATGCATCTCATTTGGGAACTTTTTGCCTATGAAAATGCTAGACACTATCAAACCACCCACTGGTTCTTTTATTATGACACACATACTGTATTATTCATTATAGCAGCTATAGACACAAGACAGTAAAAGTGTTCAAGCTGCTGCATCAACACAGGAAGAGATCTCATGAAGGACATAAACAGGATCTCCCACTTCAATGATCTTTCTCTTTTCTTCAGTAAGAGAGTCCTTGCAGACTAAATTCTGCCCAAAGTATACCTGCAGCAATATGTTACATGAATTTTCAGAACACTTCACATTAATGGAGGGTTGTTTGACTGTTTTTTGTTACTCAAATATCACCTTCCCCTGCTGTTTCTTTGTCGGGCGCAAGACTTTATCGGACCGGAACTTCATAAGAGTTTCAGTTGGCTCAGATCCTGCCACTGCATTTTCTTGATTAATTGTGGGTACCTGAAAATTATGAGTCTCAGTAAACAGCCAGAAGTTATAATACATCCATATATCCAAGAGAGAAACATGACGAATCAATGATCAAACATCACAAATCTAACAAGCCTATTCATGATGAGAAGGAACATTTTTTATGCAAAAAAATAAAAATAAAATAAAAAATAAAATAAAAATCATAGAACTCGTATATTCGGCTTGCAAATTAAAGATGGCAATCCCCAAAAAGGGTCTGACATGATATTTCCACGGGAAAGTGAGCGCCAACAAATAATTTGATCACTCATGTTACTGCTGATCTTACTGGACATTTAAAAATGCAAAACAGAACAAATTTTTTTTCAAGTAAACATGTGATTTTGATAATTGTGAATTTATAATTCTAAAAAACCTCAGAACTTCAATATGGGCTACCTGTTAAGCTCTGTTGCTTAGGCATGAACAAGCTGCAGTCGCTTTCTGCATATTATCTTTTAAGTTCATATCTACCAAGTGCTATGGCCATAGAGCGAAATGGAAGAATATAATTCATGTAGCCGACCCAAAGTAGTTGGGAAAAGTCTTTGGTAGTGGTTGTTGCTGTTGTATCTACCAAGACGCGAATAATATTTTCCTAGCTGAGTTAATAATATTTTACTAGCTGACGTCACTGTAAAATGCAATACTCGAAAAAAAGAAAAAAGAAGAAGAAGAAATCGGCAACTATGAAAATAATGATTGTTTTTAATGGTAAATGTAAAATACTTTAATATGCTTTAAAAAGTGATTTTTCATATAAAAAGAGAAAAATGAAGGTGAATAACATTTTACCTTACAGCGGGAGCATAGCTTGACACCATGAAATGTAAATTTGTTTATCTTGATCTCCTTCCATAAGTCCTCAGAAAAAGGTTCACAACCATCAACAAGAATGCTGTGACATTCAACTAAAAAGTTATATAAATGTTTAAGAAGATAAGAAACAGTAGGTATCACATGTGAGAACACAGAAAGGGAAGAAAGAGTCAAAAGAAAAAAAAAAAAAGTGTTTAAGATTGAGGATTAGAATATGTAGTAAAACATATGGGTCTAAAGCAGTAAATAATTGGAACAAGCTCCAGCCCCCAAGCCTCCAACTGAAGCAAGTTTCATAGATTCAGACAGTTTATTATATATGTACCATAAGAAACAAAATGCTTGGATCAGCTAAAATGAAATAATAGATGCAAGCCAAATAATTACTTGGGTCTAAAACGGTTAACTGATATGGGCTCCTTGAGAATCTTATTTAGTGCATCCAATGAACCCTGCAAAAAATGCATTGACAAGATCCAGGTCTGAGATTCTATCCAATAGCAAGGATTACATAAATTATTAATTGTGAACTTAACCTAACCTGGGATAGCAGGAGGAACGGATACTGGTCAGAAAACATAATTTTGTATCCACAAGCATAATTAGGGTCCACCGCTCTAGTCTCTGATACTGCATAGAAAAATAACCAACCAAAATTACACCCATTTATTTGCAAGTTACGCACAACAATAATTTTTTTGTGAGAATCTTGATCCTAGTCATCAACTTTTCTGAGTCCTGCCCATTTCTTATCTAATAGATTATCCCAAGTGAGGCAACAACGCAGACTCAACAATCTAATTCAGTTTCCATGAGAGTCAAACAGACCCAAAAGTAAATTAAATTAGAACATGTTTCTAACCTGAACACAACATTTTGAAAAGAAAAATACTTGAGCGTGTGTGTGGAGAGAGAGAGCAAGTCACAAGCTGAAAAAAGAAGGAATAACAAAAAAACAAAAAAAATAACAGGACGGCTTTATTTTCGTGACAGTTATAAGCTTTACCACACACACAATTGCAAATAGACAGATACCTAAAATCTCGTGACTCTGATTAAAGACAAACAGGGGGAGGGCTTCATGGAGTGCCGTTAGGATATGAGAGGGACAGCCAAAATAAGGTTTAGGTTTCCATTAGGCTACTCAAATTTCCTCCAGGAATTTAATATGAATGAATGTCAAATAGATGGGATCAATAACAGAGAAATAACGATCACTATTAAATAAATAATGCTGTATAGTATATCAAAATTACATTGCTTTATAAATTTATCAACCAACTCTATAGATTTTCTTTTACACAATATAAATCATGGTATACCATGCTTAGGATCCAAACCCACCACGGCATGCTGCAGCTTCATTTGACAAACAACTAAACAAGCTAGTCACCTAGCATCAGAGTTGTTACGACAAACACATCGAACCCAAGAAAAAAGACATAAAGTAAATGCACCACACACAAAGAACACAATGATTTAGTGTGGTTCGGCAAACCCTACATCCATGGTGAAGATCCGGCAAAAGAATTCACTATGCGAAAATCTAGAGATTACAAGTTTCAGCCCCCAAACTTGCTTGCTTCCACACTTCCAAAATCTATATAATAGGTTTAGTTCAACAGATAAGCATTCATCCTCTCTCTTTTAATTATAATCATTATCGTCAACAAAGGATACAAGGTGAGATGATGGTGATAACAACGGAGACATACCAAAGGTGGTGGCCTAGTATAACGGGTGGACGCTTGCCCATTTACCCAAAATCTCAAATTGTTGGGCAGTGTTGCATACCCACTCATTTATACCCAATCACTTTCCCATATGGATCTGATATGGGACAAATGACCCTTGTTACATTCTCCCCCACCCAAAATCACAACGCCCTCGTTGCGGCTCGGGCCACCCTGCCTACCCGGGCTGCAAACCCGGACGCCCTCTTGTCCTGGTGCTTGGCGTGACACCAGATAAAAGACTGGTCTGGCTCTGATACCAATTGTAACGGGTGGACGCTTGCTCATTTACCCATAAGCTCAAATTGTTGGGTAGTGCTGCATACCCACTCATTTATACCTAATCACTTTCCCATCTGGATCAGATGCAAGACAAATGACCCTTGCTACACCTAGTAGTATCTCCTCTACCTTTCATTGTGAGAGGTGAGGGTCCGAGTCCCGTCAGGGACAAATGGGAGTGTGACTTTCTTGCCAATGAAAAAAAAACGGAGACGCACATTAGGAATTCAAGTGAACATCTCCCCACAATCATCTCCTCTATATCAAAGTGGAACCTAATGAGGGGAAGGAAAAAATAAAAAGTCATTACCCATTATGGTCCTTGTTAATCAAGGGAGCTACAAGGATTAATTAGGTACACATGTAGAGTTTGGAATTATTTGCACAAAGTGGCTTACTTCAGACTCGAATCATATTTTCATGCTTGACAGTCCTAGCTTTTATCATTTCACCATACATGTACAAAATACCCCAACTTTTGTAATCAGAATCATCTGTCGGAGGGAAAAGAACTACGGAAACGCCTGCAATAATTTGCTTCTTGTCAAACCAGGGTAAAGTGATGGAAGCAGCTCACACCAAATACCATAAGAAAATTTGTCTCCATTATAAGAAACATGACATGCTTTGAAAAGATTCCTCATCAGATTTTTTTTTTTTACAGCCCTCATATTGCAAACCTAAAACAGCCTGATAGTAAAATTCGGCTGTAACAGGAGTTCCTCTTTCAGAAAATGATTTTTGCTGCAACAAATGGAACCTTAACACATCATAATCCTACAGAAAAACAGTATGCAAACAATTTTATATTTGCAACTATATATGATACACTAAATCAAGTGCTACCTTCATTAAAACGCACTAGCCGACTCGGTTTACCAAGATAATTAGAAAACCATTTTGATGCTTCGTCTCCCTCATCCAAGACCGAGCCTGTCCACTCCCACACTGAGACACCATCAGTTACTTCACACGGTTTACTCAATGAAACCTTAAGCACGTCCATCCCAGGGGCCCTTATAACTGTAGGAGGAAGTGAATGATAGAGTATTAATAAAATCATATCAATAATTGAAATAAAATTATACCAATAATTGTTAATTAATAAAATCATAAGTAAAAATCTCTTTCAAAGCACCTAATAAAACAATTATTTATAAAAGAATAAATAGGTCTAGGAAAACAAAAGCAACCCATATGATTCACGTAAAATTAACAGAAAAGACAAAACAGCTCTTGATTTCAACAAACCCTCACATAGTCAAAGGGAAGACAGAAGACATCTGTGGAGAGAAATTATTACTACGTATTTTTCATTCGCAAGAAACACACACCACTCACATGCCCACTTTGTCCCTTTGGGGACTCGAACCCTTACCATCCACTTTGAGAGGTAGAGGAGATACCACTAGGCTACAAGGCCCTTGGTATCTGTGGAGAGCGAATTATTACAGCAGTTTAGAATTTCAAACTAACTCTTCCATGGAACCAAAATCACAAACCATACCCATGCCTACTGTAATGCATATTAAATAAAAATGGGTTTACATTATTTTTAAGTAGTTAATAGGTGTAAGTATGGGAAATATATGCGTACATATATAGTTAGTTAGTTTTGGCTACAGGATATCATAATTGATGGAGCAAAAGTGTTTAATTGCAACACGTATACACGTGCATTTATATATATATATATATATATAGATATGCATTTATGTTATTATATGGAAAACACTAGTTGGCTAAGAAGGGCATATGGAAATCAATAATATAGCTTTTCCTAACATGAGGGCATCACCTATTCCCACGCCCTATAATCTATGTGTGAGTATCTCTATGCATTTGTCCAGTATGTGTGGATATATAAATATTAACTAATGAGTAATAAAAAGCAAAAAAAGGTGATAACATTCCTGCATTAGTAGCGATGAGTACTTGTTCTAACTATCATCAATATTGATTAGAAAGGTCACTGGTACCCGAGACAATATTGCATAGCATGTGGGTATCACGCACGTCGCTTATATATGCACAAGCTTGGTTCATGCTTCATATGCGCGTACAAGCTTGGTTCATACTTCATAGTTCATATGCGTGCATCGTTAATGCATGAGCATGACCATTTGCAAAGCATGGGGGCATGTACACATGAGAGTATTGGGCCATCTCTTGTGGGACTTGTCCGCGGCTATGTCTAAATATATTATCTCAAACTATTGAGTAACTAAGTACTTCCACGGAGGAATGGAAAGGTGTCGGTAGTGAAGGGTAATATATTTCCGGCATAGTTCGGGCTGTGAAAAGCCAAAGAATGTAAAAGAAAGGTATTTTGAGGTAGACGATCATGTCACCAAACACACTTGTATTTAACTTGGCAAAACAAATATATAATTTGTTTGCCAATGTTATCACAAGGAGTAAACTAATGTTATGGTCTCACCCGAGCAAATGGTAATCGCAACAAAACCTGCGTGCAAAGACTAAGAATAGTTCTCAATGATGGTGTTCAAGGATGTGAACCGCGGCACATTTTGAATAAACATCATAAGGGACTACTTTAAGGTCCAAGCACGGTGTGGGAGGAGTGGTGTCATTGGAGCTCCATGATGGCATCCCAAGCGGCTATAATGAGTGTCATGAGCAACACTTTGTCATAGTCTAGCATGGGAAAAGGGGTAAAATGTGGCATGGAAGGATTGAATGAGAGGCTCATCGGAGTGGGATGGAGGTGGAAACGGGTGACTCCCGCAACACAAAAACCCATGGGACCGGGACATCCGGGCTTCGACACAGAAAAGGATATTGGTATGACACGCTGATAAGGGCTGAAAGTTGCACATTTGAGCCCTTAAACTTGCATGTTATAACTCCTTAGTGATGATTACATAGTAGTACTTATGTTATTTTATTAATTTTTGTCATTTTTAGGTAATCTCTAGAAATTCAGTCATTTCCATTGCTTTTAGGGTCTTTGAGTTCAATTAATGGATGGAGATCGCGAGAGCTAGACTATCCAAGGTGATCCAATGGCCAAGATCATTCAAGGATAATTCTAGAAGACTTTTAAAGGAGTTTTCAGCAAGAAATATTCGTTTTTGGGTCATTATATGAAGAAAATGAGGTTTCCTATTCCAATAAGGAAACAACTTGAGCAAGAAATTCTGGGCCAGCTTCAGTATTTTAGGCATAACTTTTTACCTGAAACTTGGAATTGGGAAAACTCAGTGGCTCTGAAAAGAAGACTCGAAGCCCGTCGTTTTCGTGTCTAATAGCAATATCGAGATTCGTACTCCAAACAGGTCAAAACAACGTTGCAAACTGATAAAAATATAGAAAACTGTTTGAGCTTCTTTCTTTTGCCAAGCTTTTTCTATTTCCTTTCATTGGGAGGAAACCCTACAACATATATATATATATATATATATATATAGGAGATTTTCAGCAGAGGAGGAGGAGGATAGAAGAGAGAGTTTTGGCAGCTTTTAAGGTTTTGAAGATTGAATATTCCAATTGGCGGTCCATGGAGATGACTTCTACATCAAAAATGATGACATCCTTCCTTTCCATGAGTAGCTAAAGCATTCCTTAGGGAATTGATGTAACCTTAGTTTGAGTAGCATGGTTTGATTTTTCTTAACTCTGGGGATTTTTCTGGATTATGTATATTGATTGCATGGTCGTGAGCAATTGACTTAGTTGTACTAAGCAATTGGGTTTTAATGATTATAATCCATTTTAATGAAATTAATCTCGTCTTAGAATTGATTTTATTATAATTGAATTCAAACTTCTTTTATTGTAAGAGATTGGCGGCTAAGGGCTTCTCTTAAAGGTTTAAGCAGTGATCATGCAATGGCGCTTAACAAATATGTGAGTGAATGTTTTGATAATTCATGCCTAGGGAAGACAAGTTGTACTACACCATAGATTAGAGTAGTTAGGTAGACAATTCGTGCCAACCGAAGATGAGTTATGGCTTAGTGTTTATTCATATTTACCTTCTTAATATCAAAATGTGCGTGTAGCCACTTGGTTCCCTAATATGCAAAGTATGAATTTCCCCATAGTTGAAGCAATTGACCATTTTACGAGGCTAGTGGTGAAGTCAATACCCTAAGTCCCTTATTTCTTAATATCTATTCTCCATTAACTTATTTTCATTGCATTTAGAAATAGAAAAAACAACACAAATTCTCTTATCTCGAATCAAATTGGAATTACTTTCATATTTAAAAATACCAACACGGTCCTTGAGGTTCGACATCCTCAACATAGCCCTAGCCTACAAGGATTCATTCTATTGCAAGTGGTTTTTATCATTGATAACATACACATCAATTTTTGGCACCATTGTCGGGGACTGTGTAACGGTTATTGTAAGGTTAAAGATTAGTTCTAGTTTGATTGTTAGTTTAGGTCTTGTATATAATATTCTATTGATTTATTTTTGTTTTCAAGTGCAGGAATTTAGGTGCACGAGATGGAAGTAGTCGAGTGTTAGATACGGGCTAGAGAGTGACATTCCGTCTTGCTAGAGACGTTAAATTTAGCACCTATGGGACATATTGCGTCTTATTTGTAATTGTAGATTTCATAGGTTTTAAAAATATATATATTTATTTTTATTTATTTATTTATTTATTTTCTATTTTGTTTATCATGACACTTTACTCTATATGTGTGCGATAGTGAGAGTATGTTTATTATTTCATACCCTTTGGGGATTTGTTCACTCTCACGTAGTGGTGTCTAGTTGTTTTCATTGACATGTTTTTGTATTAAAGTTTGGGGGTACCACCTTGCTTGACAATTGCCTTGGACGGTTGGCTTTTGACATTCATCACTTCTATAGTAAAACTGTTCTAACCCTTCTTCTATTTTTGTTCTCATTGCACATTGAGGACAATGTGCAGTTCAAGTTTGGGGGTAAGGCAATAAAATTGCAAGTTTATTAATTAATTCCACATTTTTTGAAAAAAAAAATTCCAATTTTTGAATGGTAGAGTTGAGAGCATGTGGTGTTAGCAATGATTTTATGTCTGTGAAGCTAGTTTGATGTCCCAAAGCAGTTTTTAATGTATTAATACATCATGTATGTGGAATTAATGTTATTTTGGAGATAAATTGAAATTTTTTGACATCGTGTCAGCATAGGTGGTCCACATTATTGGTCTTTCCATATTTTCATGATTTCTGACTTCTAGAGTACTTCACTTTGCACATGAGCACACTTGCATATATTATGTGGAGTATAAACTTGATATCATATTATATTTTGTAATTGACTGAGATGAGTTGGTAGGTTTGAAAACTTTGATGATTGTGGCATAATGATAGGAATGTATGCAAAAGTAGACCGTTTTCCACTGAGTAACTGGGACTCTTACCTCATTAAGCATTGAGGATTCACGTAAAAAGGTGGAAAACTTAGGAAAATAGAGGTTGAAGAGTTAGTTTGGATTCGCAGCCTAGTTAACTCGAATGATTAAGTCCTTTGGGGTGTCTTAACACCTAAGCCCTAAAATCGGCCAGTTTGGGAATCATTAACCAAAAGCATGCCATTAGTTTTCTAGAAAGCTTAAGGGATCCGAACATTGCACAAAACTCTTATTGATAAAAAAAAATAAATAAAAAAAAAAAAAAATTGAAATAAATGCATACACATGTTAGAATTGTTATTTATGTCATGGGAATCAAAATTTGAAAAATTTGCTAGCAAGTTCAGGAATGTTATGGAATAAACACGAGTATGGATGGTAAGCAACATAGATGGATGTAAGTTCACTTTTATAAGGATGCTAGAGTTCACTTTTAAAGGCTGGTTGCATATGCTAAATGCAATCGATTCTTCCACGAAAGATGAAGTAGTTTAGTTCTTTCATTTTTATTTTTTAGGGTTTGTATTGCTAAGGGACTAGTAATATGTAAGTTTGGGGGTGTGATAAGCGCTAAAAGTTGCACATTTAAGCCCTTAAACTTGCATGTTATAACTCCTTAGTGATGATTACATAGTAGTACTTATG